GCRAWRCCCCCCKMCCCCCCCCCCCCCATGGAGGAGGAGGGGGAGGAGAAGGAGAAGCAGGCAGAAGAGGAAGTGAGGAGGAGGAAAGGGAGGTCGGTAGGCCGGTGATACTCACTGGTTGATGATGATGGGCAGGATGACGATGTCGCGGCATGGCGACCAGCAGGATGACGACGGTGCTCCTCCTCTGAAGCGACTGGAACCAATAACACCCTGAAAGGAGGTTTCTAAATTTGAAACCTCACTCTGTCCGCGCTCGAGTGCGGGCCTGAAAATCGTTTTTCGGTCGTTGTTCGACTTTTGGCGGGGGGCCTCAAAAGTGCCATTTTGAGCCCTTTTTTTGTGTGTTTTTTTTTTTTTTTGGGGGGGGGGGGTATCGGTCGTTCTCCGGACACGTCGTGCGCCGTGCAGATCCGGCCCGGTGCGCATGCTGCTCATGCGGAATCGTGTGCACGTTGTGCGCTTGGTTCGTCTTATTTTTTTTCGGGGGGGGGGAGGGTATTGGTCGTCTTCAGTTCATGCACTCTGCTGTTTTTTTTTCTACATCATAGTATCTTAGGACTTTTTTATCTCTTGGGTTGATGTTTTTCTTTTTGACCACTACGATTACTCTGTTGTTTAAAGTTTAAAGTTTAAACTTGTTTTGTGATGTGATGTCCAAGGGTATGCTCACACTATAGGATTTTTTTATTTTGTTTCCAGTGATCTCTGGAGGTAGATGTGATCGGATACATCCAAGGAGAGCCGTAATTGTGGTCAGATGCATCCAAGGAAGTCCTAGTATGAGTATGCTTTACGTTTTACTCTGTTGCAGGAAAGTGCTACCAACTTCCCTCGAACACAACACATCCTCAACAAGACTGTATACAGTGTGTAGGACTGAAAAGATGCCTTCTATCCAGAATGGAATATGTTCAGGAATCAGGAAAAGTAAATAAATAAAAATCAGAATCAGATAGCGTTATGTTCCGGGGAAGACTGGAGTTTTCTTTGCCTTTGCTTTGTAGATCGGTTGAGCAGAAGGATTGCGTCGAGGTTTGATAATTTGGTGTAATAAACTACTAATAAGTGGTAACAAGTGTTTTTTTTGTATTATTCAATTTATTCTTATTCTTATTCTTATTCTTATTCTTATTCTTATTCTTATTATTATTGAACACACAAAGCCCCTTCTATTTGGGGGGGCATCAGACCGGTTGCTCATCACCGGCAAGCATGAGTACAAGAAAGAAAGATATAGGAAGAGGTCAGCCTTGCCCTTGCGGTACTAGTCGCCTGTACAATGGGTGGGCGGGCTGCTATGGACCGTCCCACCCCCCAAACCATGGCCTTCCCGGGGATGCTTCTGCTGCCGAGGAAGCTTACTGACAGCACCCAGTCACAC